CTTAATAATTTCTTCTTTAAAAAACTAATAAAATTATCTGAAAAATGTTTAATAAAATAATTTATTTATAAATTACAACATTTAATTTAATTTCAGAAGATTAATTTGTTTACATTAATCGTAATTAAACTGTCAATAAAAATATAGTAATTATTGCTCGATAATCTATTATTTAAATCAAGTGTAACTGTTAAATATTTTTACAGATATTAAACACGTTGCGGTCCTTTAATAATATAAATACTGAGAATTTATTTAGCGAGTGAGGATTTGATGTATGTATAAGGTTGGGAACCCATGGTAAAACACGCAAACGTCTGAAAATTTTGGTGGCAAGTAGCCAAAATGTTTTTACTCACAATCATTATCTTGTAAGTGAGTAAGTAAGTGTATTAAATAAATTAAGTTTATTTTAAAAAATAATTGAATAAATATTTTTATTAATTTTTAGATGATTAAATTACCATGAAAAGGTTTTCTTTTTGTATTTAATAGTGTTTTGAAAATATTTGGGATAATTATGGAAACCCGAAAGCCCAGATGACCCTGAAGGAGAGTGGAATTGCGTGAGGTCGTCGTTCTTGGTGTCTACTTGACGTCTTGAGACTTGATGACCATAGCGTAGACGGGAGGTGGTTCACTATGAGTATGAGTATGAGTATGCGACAGCTGCACCAGCCACCGGTACTGAAAATAGCCCTGACAACCCCATGCCGAGCCCAACCAGCAATTCCTCTCCTTCTTGTAGATATACATATATAATACACGCTACATACATATTTATTTATGTATACATATGTGAAGATGGAGATCGGTTCAAGTAAGTGGCGACGAAAAATTCTCTTCCATCTACATCTTTCAATCCTTATTTATATTTTCTCCCTCATCGATCCTTTAAATAACTTATGACTTTTTCCCCTTTAGCGCTCGGCCCAAAGGACCCTAATTTCTCAAGACAAGCCTGGATTTCAAATTAGACACACGGACGCAGGAAGAATTGACAGCCGAAAGATTTAAAACAAGGATTTTTTGTCTGAATTACTGAAATAAAAGGAGGAGAGTATAAATTATTGTAAAGTACCAGGCGTTTCCGGATATTTACCGGGTTACTTGATACATACATTTATAAACAACCCTTCGATAGTGTAGAAATATATTTTATTCTTTGTATCCACGTGTAGGACACGCGACCAGGATTATCAGTAACAATAACTATTATTTTTTCTACTAGAACTTTTAATAATTTTCTTTTCTTTTTTTATTTAGATAGTTTAATATCTGCAATCTTAAGTTAAGGTGTCAATTTTAAGGAAAACGACCTTAATAATTAATTAAAGTATTCTATTTTTTTTTTTTTATTAAAAAAATGATTACAAAAAAATTATACGTGCAATTTTTTTAGTTGTATCTCTATCTCTAGACACATAATTAAGAAATTACCTTGTATCTTGTGAAATATTGACATTTATAAAGATATAAGCTCATCCCGATGTTACACTCATCGAGACCTTTCATTTGAGTACCCACATCAATTTTTCATATATTTTATATATTTATACATATCATATATATGTATATATGAAAAATATATAAAAAATGCATGTGGGTACTCAAATGAAAGCTCTTGATGAGTATAACATCAGGATGAGCTTATATCTTTATAAACGTCAATATTTAAAAAAGTACAGTGCAATTTAACAAAAGTCATTATTTAATAGTGATTGCCAGGTTGCTATTGTAATATTTAAATATAGTTAAAATCCCCGACTTTACTCAAATAGATATAAAAATGTGAGTGCTTTACTCCCGAAGAACTAACTTAAGAAAGAAATGAAATATGTACCAATAAATTGAAGAAAAAAGAAACCGCTTCTATTTTATATATGACAAATTTAAACCAAGTGCATCTCAGGTCAACGGGAAGTCGTTTCGTAGACTTATAACTCATTCATTTAGTTTAAATTAAACTAAATCTTGATAAAATAGCAAAAGCGCGTATATTCATTGAACAAGTAAATGTTGGAGGGTAATAAAATAAATGAAATTATTATTTAAACTTTTGGCAAGATTTATAAATTACTTGCGTCAAGCAAATTGTTAAAAGTAACACAGAACTATTTATTTTTATCCGACGTTGATGCGACCGTTGACGACAGTGGTAAGACACCTGTTTTTTTATTTTCTAATTCTTTCGTTACGTCAGTCAATAAAATTTATCAAATGTGAAACATTGCATTAACAAACCGTAATTAAACTGACGTTAATTTATTACAAGTACAAGCGCGGAATGATATTTTGAAAATTGATTAAAGTGTTTTTATTTAAATTAAAGAAGATATTATACGCAAGTTTGTATTTAGAATTTTAGAAATTATTGTGGAGTAAAGAATGCTTCTTAAAAAATCTTCTTAAAAAATCTAAAATGGCTAAAACTATATTGGACCAAGTAGTTACGAGTAAGATAAGCTAGAGGCATAAGTAAGCACAGGTTGGTGCGCTGGGTGGTTCTGCTGGCAAATTGCCAACCAACCGCCGAATTTAGAACCGCGGATGCTGACTAACTCGCGTGGCATTCATTCAATCGTTTGCCTCGACTCTTCAACTTGTGTCTGTCCTTCGACGCTATCTGTTTAAACTTAAGACTTATGCTCGAAGCTTTTATCTCTGGAATTTAAGCCGAGAAAAATTCCATGGGTCATTGCTTTTTTTTTTTTTTTTTTTAAATTGTACACGTATGTCGAGGCTAAGTTAATGCAAAATTTATTTATCCATTAAATAGACAAATTTTTAATTTATATAATTAGTTAAAAATCAAATTGCTTTACTATAAAAATTGTAATTATGATAATAGTAATTAAATCGTGTAATTCAGGGTGAAAAATTTACAATATTTTTGTGTAAGCTTTAAAGCGAGATTAAGAAGACTTGTAGATACTTTACGATCTCGCGCGTGCCGACAATCACGGCGGTGTGAAGGGCGAGGAAGGAACTGCACTGGGGTTGTAAAAATAGATGGCTTTATACTTTATACCCGCCTTGTATTGCTTTCTGGAATAATTGATGGTAAAAAATTAACTCTCACTTGTAAACCTGTCTGTGTTGTGTGTATGAAAAGCTCTGGATCAAATGGGACATTTTTTAATAGCAGGAAGCTATTAAAGTCTTATTTTTTTAATTGACTTTTAACTTTTTTAATATACAAATTGGTTTTATTTTTTAAAGTATTGAAAGTTATGATTCAGAAGTTGTCTAATTTTATACAATCAATTTTAAAAATTACTAAGAAGTTGTTTAATTATATTTGTTTTTTTTTTTTGTTTTTTTTTTTTTATGTGGCAGTCATATTTTACTCCAATTAAAATCGAGGTCTATTTTTAATATTTAGAAACAATCTTATAAAAAAATGTTTACGATTTTTCTGTCTAGACATAAAATATTTTCTTTAAACTCTTTGTTATATTTTTATCAACAAAATGTCGAGCACAGAAGCTTATTAAAATTAATTTTTTCAAGCAATTTATTTGCTTATTGCGTAAGATATTTTTTTGTTTATAAAATAAGATAAAATTACTCTAAAGAATTATGTGGTTCTTTCTTTTTAAAGTTTAAAGAAGCTTTTTTTAAAATGAATTATCATTTTAGTGACAAAAATTTTTTAATTTTTCATTCAAATAATTCAAATTTTTTAAATAAAAAAAATCTGTCTTTTAATTTTATTTTTATTCAAAATTATAATAAAAATATTAATGAAAATTAAGTTAGCCATCTAGAATTTTTTTTTTTATTGAAAAACTGATTAAAAAAAAAATTGTCACTTGTAAAAAACTTTAAAAACTATCAGTGCAATTTTTTAAAATATTTTTTTTTTGTTCTAATTTAATTATTAAAAAAAATTAAAAACGTCGGCTAACTTTAGTAGTATAAAATATGAACCAATTTATTTTAAAATAATTTTTCAAAGTATTTTCTTTATCAAGCTTTTTTTTTAGATCTAAAAATCCAGGTAAAAAAAATAAGTAGTAACAAATGTTTGATCAAAAGGATTGAATGCCCAAATAAAGTCAGATTAATCAATCAATAATAAATATGAAAGGACAACTGGTAAAGGGGTTGGTCTCTATACTAGAAAATCAAGCAATCCAGCTGTCCTTTGTGTCAACCGGGTAAAGCGAGTAGTTATGAACCAGCAGTAATAACAAGAGAAGATATTTGCGAGGGTGGGCAACGGCACATGCCCCGTGTCTTTTACACACTGCATTTATATATCAAAAGAAGATATACTGTGCATGTAGATGTAGAGAATGTCAGCGTCAGCCACCACGAAGATTCTAGAGAAGACATAGGGGTCCCGTGGTAGCGCCAAACACTGAGCTTATGTTCCGATAAAAGAGAATAAGAGTAAGAGTAAGAGGACCGAGGGAGGAGAGTACATACAAGAATAAAAGCATGTGGGTAAAGAGAGGATGAAGCATGTGATGGTGAGCAAAGTATGTAAAAGAGAGGGTCTTTTAGTTTTGGTATTGGTATTCCTATTCGGGGGACTTACTTACTTACTTACTTACTTACTTACTGTGGCACATGCTTTGATGCTTCTTGCTTCTGTACTCTTCTCTTCTCTCAAAGCTCCCAAGGCGCGTGGTAGCAGCTGAAGAAAAGTGGGGAGCGGGCACGAGGGAGATCTGCCTCCTATATGTAGCCCCGAATCTCTGCCGGGCCAACTATTACGTCCCAAGCTCGCGAGACAACTGTATCTATCGCTAATGTAGTTAAGTTCACACCAATACTGATAAACAATATTCTTAATTATTATTTTTACAATCACTTACTTTTTTTCATTGACATCCAAGTCTTCAGTGTTGTTTGTTGTGATGATATACGCTAAGTGACAAGTGCTGTGTTGTTGTTGTTGTTGTTGTTGTTGTTGTTGTTGTTATTGGTTGGTTTTAAATCAACCAATAATTATAAACTATTTTGGTAAAATAAAACAAAAGAAGAATAAAATGCCACGGGCATTTTTAATTACTCACCGACGTTACAACGGCACAGAAGGATTTGAAGATGTCGGAAGAGGTTGGTTATCAGATCACACACTATTTATAATACTTATTTTATTTTTATTTATTTATAAATTTAACGCTTACTGATGAATGATTTTAATTTATAACTATAAAGTGCTATTATTTATGGAATGCGTCAATCTCAGCTTCGACATACGAGTTTTATGTTCTATTTTTGTTCTTTCCAAAAGCAGAACGGCCATTGCACATTTATGACGAATTTTCATGCTAACTTTCATTTTTTTTTTTTTATGATATTTAAGTTAACAGTCACTTTACAATTTATTAGTTTGATTTTAACAAGCAAAATTGTTCTCAGAAATTGTTTTTAAACAATTGCATTTTTAAATTTCTACTTGTCAATTTTTTTTGATGACATTAAAGTTAGCAGTCACAATTTTTTAATTTTTTTTAAAAAACAAATTTATTCCAAAAAATTATTTTTAAAATATTGCATTTTTAATTTTTAAAAATTTCTACATGTCAATTTTTTCTTCTAATTTTTTTTGCTATAATTTATTTGTTAAAAAAATTTTTTAAGTTAATAAATGTCTATTAAATTAATTATGAAAATTAAAGTAGCAGATATTTAATAATTTTTTTAAAAAATAAATTAGTGCAAAAAAAAAAAAAAAATTGACATGTAGAAATTTAAAAAAATTAAAAATGCAATTTTTTAAAAACAATTTTTTAGAACCAATTTTTTTACATTTTTAATTTTTAAAAATTTCTACATGTCAATTTTTTCTTCTAATTTTTTTTGCTATAATTTATTTGTTAAAAAAATTTTTTAAGTTAATAAATGTCTATTAAATTAATTATGAAAATTAAAGTAGCAGATATTTAATAATTTTTTTAAAAAATAAATTAGTGCTAAAAAAAAAAAAAAATTGACATGTAGAAATTTAAAAAAATTAAAAATGCAATTTTTTAAAAACAATTTTTTAGAACCAATTTTTTTATTAAATAAAATAAAAAATTTATTAAATGACAGCTAACTTTAATGTCATAAATTAATTTCCATTTTTTTTGTCCTAATTTATTTATTAAAAAATTATTAAATAATTAAAATATCTGCTAAGTTAATTTTAATTTTTTTTTGTAGACTACAGTCCAGAAAGAGGCGTAAGAATTCCCGACTACGGTTCAAATCAGCCGACATCTGACGGAGTAAGTGATTGTGGAAGCGAGACATCCTCAGAATGTCCCGAAGAATTGTATAACTTGACAAAACTCGCAGAGGTTAGTCTTGCTGCGGCAGCAGGAACACTGATCCATCCAAATAATGTGATTTATCACCGGTCATTGTCACCACGGTGGACACCAGGTGTCGAGAACCTTCATGTCTACCGCTCATCACCCCCAGAATCGTTGCATCATATAAACTTCCATCATAACCTCAATCACAGATCTGAAAACGAGCTGAGTCTGCATGAAAGAACGAGACTATTTTTTGAAAGGATTGAAACAGAGCGAGAGATTCTCCAAGACAAGACCAAGGCTCGGTTGTCTCACTTGGACGAGTCCAAAAATTTGTCACTGCCAATTAATCAATCTCTGTCGCCGATTAACTTGCCAGCGAGAAGAATTTCTTCGGGTCAGTCGGATACCTCTAAAACGGATGACAACGAAGATCACGAGTGTCCGGATTGTGGTAAAAAATACTCAACTTCGTCAAATTTGGCCCGACATCGACAGACTCATCGGTCACTGGGTGACAAGAAGGCTCGGAGGTGCCCGCACTGCGACAAAGTTTACGTCAGCATGCCGGCTTTCAGCATGCATGTTAGGACTCATAATCAAGGATGCAAATGTCATTATTGTGGAAAATGTTTTTCACGCCCGTGGCTTCTTCAAGGACACATCAGGACTCACACAGGTAATTTTTGATATTATTTAGTAAGTATTACTTTGTCCCAAGATCCAGTCAAAAATTATTCACACGTTTGGTCAATAAAATTAGATTAATAAAATTTCAAGTAGGAATTAAGATTTAAAATCAGTTATTGTATTTATTTATTTTTTTACTTTACTTAATTTGATAATTTAAAAATTTTTTTAACAAATAAATTATGACAAAAAAAATTGACATGGATAAATTTAAAAAAATAAAACATTGAATTTTTTTTTAAACATTTTTTTTGAAGAAATTTGTAAAAAAAATCAAGAATAATTAAATTAGAACAAAAAAATATTTTTTAAAAATTGCACTTGCAGTTTTTAAAGTTTTTTACAAATGATAATTTTTTTTTTTTGTCATTTTTTTAATAAAAAAAAAAATTAAAAAATTTTAAATGTCGGCTAACTTAATTTTTATTAAAATTTAAAGTCCAATTTATTAGACAATAAAAATTTTGACAATTCAACAAATTACTCGTGCGTAAAATAACCACAAAGATTAATTGAATAATTGATTTTAGGTGAGAAACCCTTCAAGTGTACCATCTGTAATAAAGCATTTGCTGACAAGTCAAATCTCCGTGCCCACGTGCAGACTCACTCAAACACGAAGCCACACATCTGCGGAAGATGTGGCAAAGCATTCGCCCTCAAGTCTTATCTTTACAAACACGAAGAATCTTCTTGCATGCGAACTCACCATCGCGCGGACAAGAAGGAACCCGCTGGTGAACCACCATCATCATCATCATCATCACCTTCAACGCCATTATCATCTTCTCCGTCTTCAGCTAGTGCACCGACTAGACCGGCACCAGGTATCACTTCTTCGCCGACAAGTGTAATAGTACCTCGACCGGGATTTGCACTAGAGCCTATGTCAACAATAATCCGACACACCAAAAGCCAGTCCGCCGTTTCTCCTCCGACTCCTTCTGCAATTCAGGAAGAAAATCCTGCTAAAATTGGAGCAAGTGATAGCGAGTATTTATCTCGGATGGTAATTCGAACCTCGGTAATTTCGCAAAATCCTGAACATGTTCCCGGTCGTAATAAAAACGTTCCGTTTGATTTTTCAGATCCTACTAGACCGTCTGCGTTTTCGCGACCGGGAATTACTTTAAATCTCGCCATTGCTTAGTACTTATTTTATTTTATTTATTTTTCTCATTTTATTAATTTTAAGTTATTATTTAGCAATGTATGAATGAATGAATTTTTTAAAATATATTCCATGTAAGTAGAGATATTTTTTTTTAATTATAAAACAGTAAAGACATTTAATTTAATTATATATTCTCTACGTTACAAATTCCACGCAACTTCCTAATTAGGGACCACATAAAAATAGACAATATTTTTAATTAAAAATTAAAAATAAATTCATAGTGTGTATCTGCGTATTGATAATTTGAGTGAAATAATAATTAATTGTAAAGAAAGTTCGTTATGTTGTTACGTAATTGTACGTATGCTCTTCGAGGCAGCTGACGGATTAATAAAAAAATATTGTACTTTTTCATTCTCAAGGATGTTAAATAAATATTTTTCGAGTGTTTTTCTAGTCGAAACCATTTCGCAGCAACGGACTCATCTCTCGCGACTGTATTGTTTTAAAAATATATTACAAGACTATCGGTTGGGCTACGAGCAGATCTATGGCGTGCGCGGAATGATATAAAGTTTAGGTAGACTATTTTATTAATTATCTAAGGAACAGACAAATATTAGGATAAGTAATTATAATTAAAATTAATTGATTGTTTTGGTAATATTAAGGAAACTTGTGCCTATCCTAGTCAATGGATTTAATATAAGGACACATTGTAAGTAGCATTCCTACGTTATGTATATTTGATTTTTTCTAGTTTACTATATCATAAGAGAAAAGTAGTTTTAGGTGTACATATTCAACTTATTAAACTAGTGATAAGTAGTTTTAATGATTTATTTTTAGATTTTAAGCTTTTAAAAAAAAGTGCCTTACGTGGAAAAAGAAATGTTATAGATAATTTTTTCCTAATATTTTCTACAAGTCATACACAATCTTGTCAATTATTATTAAATAAAAATTTTATAAAAATATACTTACTTGTTTTTATTTATTAGAGAAAATTATTAATTATTATTTTTTCAGATGAAATTTAGGTCATATTTCATTTTTTTTTTTTTTCAACAATTAATAATAATGTATATTATTGAGAGAATAAGCAAAATTTTGTGCTCTAGATAAATAATTAAGAAATGACCTTTTATCTTGAGAACTATTAACATTTTTAAAGATATAAGCTCATTCCGATGTTACACTCATCAAGACCTTTCATTGGAGTACCCACATCAATTTTTCATATATTTATATATATATATGTCGGAGATAATATCGAGCTGGATTTTCCCAGAGATAGGAAATTCCCAATATTTCAGTTTGTCTGTTGGTTTTAAGCAAAATTGTAAAGCATAGAATATTTAATAATTATTTATAACTTAAGCCGATTATAATTTTTATGGTTATGGCGATGGGCTTGAGTCCGGAGTGACAATGGTCACCAAACGTAGCCGAGGTCACAGGATAGAAGTAAAAAGTCTACAGTTAAAGATATCGACAGACAATGAGGGCTGTTGAAATATTTTTAAGTAAAGAAGTACTTAGGATACTTTGAGGAGTAGTTCTCGTTAAGCATTGATTAAGTAAAGATCGCATACATCCTGCTGACCCCGGATTCGTTCTCGGTCTTATTCCTCAGCGCTTTTACCTTGTATATTAATTATATTTGGATAATTAATCGTAGTATTGTTTATACAAGTTAGCGTACATTATATTTCAAAATTTATATCAGTGTTATAGTTTAATTATTCTAAATTAATAAATAATTGAATAAACGAATCCAATGGACTGTACTAACGCCCCTAATAATGCTTTTCCGACATATATATATATATATATATAAAACATACATGTGGGTACTCGAATGAAAGCTCTTGATGAGTGTAACATCGGGATGAGCTTATATCTTTAAAAACGTCAATAATTAAAAATGTACAATGTAATTTAACACAAGTCATTAATTTAATAAAGCACAATGTTATTTATTTATAGTTCACAAGTTAGTCTGCAAGATTGTTAGTAATATTTTAAAAAAGATAATTTGAAAACTAAAAAAATTTTTTAAATTAAAAATAACACTATAGTGTTATGATGATAAAAAATATAAGGATTATTAAGGAAGTAAACAAAATAATTATAATTATAAAATTTTTATTTTTTTATCAACCTAAAAGTACATAATATAAATTCAATGAAAGTCAAACTTTCTACAAAAATAAGTCAACTGTATTTATGCTGTCAGCCATATAAAAATATAATAAAAATTATTTTAACTATATATTGATTCTAATAAGTCTAGTCCAACTATTAAAACTCATTAATGAATTTCAAATAATTAAAAATTTGCAATAAAAAAAAATATTAATAAAAAATTTAGTTTTTAAAAAAATAAAAAATATTTTCAAAATTAATAGATATTTCCAATTAATATCTTCGTCTCTTTTTAGTTGATCTGTCTTCGCGGTGCCTTGACTCCCGGTACCAGTCTGCCGAAACTTCCGTCCTGCCTTCTGACCTGGAGCTGTGGTGCCTCGAACTACCAGAGTTAGCTTCTGGCTGAGTTTCATAGCCGTTAGCTTGATCATAGCTATAATAATAATAATAATTATAATCATAGCTATAATGAGCATGATCATGATCATAGCTATAATAAGTATAATCATGATTATAGTCATGGTATTGCTGTTGAGGCCATTGCGAGTACCCAGTTTGCTGATCTTCATATCCCTGATATTGATAGCTTCCCCATCCTCCTTGGTCGTACCCCGATTGTTCGTACGACCCGCCATCTTGTCGCAAGTCGTCCATATTCGATGATTGTTTGTAAGAATCATCAGAATATCCGTTCCAAGCCATCGGAGTTGATTCTAGCTGCTCGTTAGGATCGCTGGAGTTAACAGCTTCTTCAGTATCTTCACCTCCGCTGGGTGGAGACAGAGAAGGGTCCTTAGCTTCCTTTTTGATTTCGTCGCTCTTACGCAACAACTTCAATTCTTTGACCGGCAATGGCATCTTCGGTGTCCCACGTTCTTTCACAACTGATATCAATTCTGGAGCATAGACAATGTACTCCCCCGTAGCTGTTATCATGGCTCCAGGAACTTCTGGACCCTCGACTACCTTGGCCATGGTCCGGGGGATCCCCGAAGCTTTTCTGATCGACGCTGGCTTCCCGTTGATCGTGAAGGTGCAGTTTTGATACCAGTGTCCCTTTTGATGGCATCGCTTACAGACGTAAGTTGAAGGCACCTTCCCCGAATTATTGAAAGGAACTTTCAGATAATTCGATGGTGCGTAAGCGTAGGTAGACTGGGCCATCATCAAATCTACCTTCTCTTGTTCGCTGCACTGCATCTCCACCAGATTTGAAGGCTGCTTGGAAGAAATCTCCGATGGCGCTGATACGGCTGTTGGAATTTCTCGTTTTCGGTGGTTCTTCGGTTCTAGCAGCGGAACCCTCATTAAGATCACACTTGAATTTTTGGGTATTAAATCTTCAGGTCCATATTCTTTCATGGTCTCCGCATCAAGAAGCTTTAAATCGAAACTCCTTTTTTTTAAATTAATCCATTTTTTTAAAATAGATATTTCATGTTTCACTTCAGCTACTGACATCGTTAGATCGTCACACGGGATTCGGTAGGTCTTGTCCTTTTCGGAGCGAAACTTGCAGTATATTGGCATGATTATTGGTTTTTTAAATTAATTATACACTTTAACTTTAGCAAACAGTATTTTAGATAATTGTTAAAGTTTATGCCACTACACTTGATTATTTTTTAACAAATAAATTTTTTCCAAAAAATAATTTATTAAAAATTGCAACTTTTATTTTTTTTAATTTCTAAATGTTAATTTTTTTTTCTATAAATAATAATTTTTGATTAATAAACTGCAGAAATATTTTTGCAACACTTGAAACTTATATTTTCAAACACCTCTGTACTTGACGAAAGATTTTGAAAACTGAAATGTCCGTTCAGGTGTAAGGGCTTTTATAGTGTGCAAGTATTAGCAATTTTACTAATGAACCTTTGGATAAAGGTGGGGATGAAATTACAAAGGGTCTATAGTCTAGACTATGAAACGTCTTTCGGTAACCGTAGGTCGAAATTTCCAGACAACTTTTGAATATTATTTACTGATCCCAATTCATGTTAAAATTGAGCCGGAGGTTGTAAATTTTTCATGGCTTAGCTTAAACAAAATGAGTTTTAAATGACACAAGTATCAATGGTTTGAATAAGGTAAAAGTAGATGTGCAAATCCTTTTAAGTAATTGTATTGTAAGAGTATTTAAATCCTATTAATGAAAATTTTAGTTTTAAAGAAAATAAGGTAACTCAGGTAGTGGGTCAAGACCTATTGTTACTGAAAGAATGCTCATAGACTAAATTATGGACTCTTAGGGTAGAAGTGAGGATGAAATGGCAAAAATTTCAATAATCGATCCTTCTTTATGCAATTCATCTCTAATTTTTGTTATAGAAGACAAAATATTCAAAGAAGGTAATAAAATTTAAATATTTTTGTTTCAATTTACAAATATTCCAACAAATCAGAGTTATTAATAAAAATTATTAATTTTTATTATTAATAAAAAATGGACCCAAAAATTATTGAGGCGTGCATGCAAGTATTAAATTTATCGGTAAAAAAATTTCAAATAAGAAATCTAGTAATAGGTAGCCGGTGTCATAAATAATAGTCAATAAAAAGCAAATTACCGAGTTTATCTCTTTTTTGTTATCTTAAAAAATTGCTGCATATTACTGGCTTGTGTTATTACAGCAAAAATGTTTTTTTCAGTATACTCAACAAATTTTCAACAAATTCTGAGATTAGAATATTTTTTTAAATAGACTAGACAAAAATAACTAAATTATATTGAAAGAATATCAACCTGACGAAAAAAAATTTCATTTTGAGTTTTTGCTTCTTCTTAATTTTTCAGAAAAGATAATTATTTATTTACTAATGAATAATTTTTACGCATTAATATGTAAAAATAGAAGACCGCAATTAAATTTTTTTAATAATGTGGAGAAAAATTTTATGTTGACATGTTTAAAAAAAATCTTCATTAAATACAAAAAAAAAAAAAAAAAAAAAAATAAAAATATATTTATAGTAAGGAGTTAAAGGACTCGTAAATAAAATAACGTTGTGTCATAATTATTATCACTTTAAAAAAATAAATTTTTAATATATTAAATTACTAGTAAAAAGTGATAATAATCGTGAGTAATGTCATAAAAAATGTACAGCACATGATTTAAAAATTTATTTAATAAAAATCACAAGCAAATTATCCTCCGGTAGAGCAGAGAATTAACATAAAAATAAAACATGATTTCCAGTGTATATTCTTAATAATTAATAATTAATTATAAATCAACCGATCTTTCCAGATCATATAATATAATGAGTGAAAAATGGCTCGTGTTAATTAATGTATTTAATTTCAATATTTACAATTAATTGCCATATCATCTACTTAGTTAATTAATTTATTACTTCCAGTACTACAGTATTTTGAATAGGGTTCATCTTTTATCTTAACCATATTTTATAATAATAATAATAATAATAATAATTAATATATATTTAAACTTTTATCCTTATTATATTATGCTTATATCACATTGTATATAAGAAAGGCACCAAATAACAAGGCTTTTTACACAAAGCCCGACCTATTCTCGCGATCACATAATCAGCAATCGCACACAGCTAAGCAATTTATTAATTTTAATTGTCAATTATTCAATTGCTTTCTTTACTTAAAAATTTACAATTTAATCCGAAATATTTTTGCAAATATTGCACTTAAATTAATTTCAATTTTACAAATTTTTTACAATAAAAATTATTAAATTTTCATCAAGTTTTTTTTTCATCTGATTATATTTTTTTACCCGGATAAAATTATGCAAGACTGATACTTGACCGGAGTAATAGAGAAGAAATAGTTGTAGTAATAGAAAAGAATTACTAACAAAGTGAGAGATGACGCGAATTTATCAAGGACTAGGCACTCAAGATCCCACCAGAGACAAATAAATTCTCGATAGAAATCTTGTAAGCAAAAAACACGATCTCGTCGACGTATTTTCATTACATTATGTAGTTAATATAAGTCTACGTTATATTATATATATATATTTAATAGTAATAGTAATAATAATAGTTTAGATTAATATTAATATTAAAAATAGTAGTTTTTAAAAAGTATTAAAATACAATAGAGTCTACGGTTTTAATCGTCTTGATGTCAACACGGTCACAGCGTTTATTTTTTTTTAAGTTTTAATTTTAAGGACGAAAGTTATCACTAGCCAATAGCTTCTTTCAAAGCAGCGAGTTGCTCCTCGCCGAGCTTAACTTTGTCTTGAATTTCTCGGCCGTCCATTATTAGTTTGGTTTTCATGGTGATGAAATGCTGGTAGTCCGCGAATTCCTCATTGTTTAAATATTTGGATAAAATTGCTGATACATTCACGCTGCGCTTGTCGATGTTGATTTTAAGGACTTTTGCATCGTGTAATTGTTCCAGTAGTTGATCTCGTTTGGCTTCCAAAATTTTCTGAATTAAAAAAAATAAATTTATTTAATTATTTTTTACAATATTAAGATATTCTTTTTAGTAGAATAAAATTATTTATTGAGTTAAGTATATTAACTTTGACTAAGGAGTAATGATAGTGATATTTATTTTTTAAAGTTAACTTTTCTTCAAAACTAATAAAGATAACAATTCTATATTTATCCATTTTTAAAATAAATATGAGTTTTCTCGGTAATAATTTTTCTTTTTAAAAAATTTTTTTCATTAGAAGTAGTTTTTAGTTATTGATAAAAAGTTAGTGAGAAATTATCTTAATTGATACAATTTTAACAAATTTACATTGTAAATTTTTAAATTTCACATAATTTGAATAAAATGTCATACAGCAAGTTAAAAAATTAAAAAAAATTAACATTGCATTAACTATTCATCATTTAAATTACAATTTAAAAATTATTCAATTCAAAGTCAATTTTTAATTAATAAAAATTATTATTTTTACATTCAGTCAGAATGTAATTTTTCAAATAATTTTTTTTGACTATTATTTTATAAAACAGACATAAAAAAAATTAGAGATTTTATTTTTTATTAAAACTATCCCTAATTTCTCGCTTAAAAATTTTTTAATTAAAAAACTTACTCTCTCAGAATGATTAGCCGGCATTCCATGAAGCGCATTTTCTGCCCTCGCAAGTCTTCCACTTAATACGACAAGAAGATTAGTAATCATTCCAACTTCTTCGACATGCAGCTTGTATTTAGAAGCCTCTGCAGATTGAGCGACTGCTGCAACTCGCGACGCAATTTTAGCCCCTAGAGTTTCATTCATTTCGCCCTCTTCTTTCACAGCTTCTTGCTCGGCTTTCAGCACCACCACTTTTCTGTCCAGCCTCATCACCAGTTCCTCCTGTAACATCCAAACAAACAATAACTTTAAAATTCACTCTTCTATTTTATGAAAAAAAAAAAAAAAAAAATATTATTGTACCTTCTTTTGCTTCAAATTATCACTATCAGAATTAGGAGGCGTATCACCGTTAGTAACCTTGACATCTCCAATATCTTGAGAGTATTGAGTTAAAAACCTGGCTTTGCCTTCGGAAGTCATCAGATATGTTGAAGTCGGTGATACCGGACTACTCGGCTCGGTAGTATTATTATTATTAGTAGAAGTAGTATTATTAGTACCGTTGTTTGGTGTCGATGGCATCTCGTTTCTGAAATAAATTATAGAAATCAATTATCCGAGCTATTTAAATGGATTTTGCCAACTTATGAATAATTTTTTACCGCTTAAATATTAAGTACAAGTAAAAGTAATAAATGTCATTACTTTTTTATCAAAACTTCCAAACAAGTGAATTTATCAAATTTAACAGATCAAAACAACTTTGATCATTTTGAGTTATTTTTATTAATATTCATTAATTTTTTTTGAAACAAATTTTATTATTGAGACAGTTTCTATTAATTAAATAAATTTTCTTTTCTTTTTACATCAAAATATCATTATTGATTATCACACTAAATCAAATTAAAAAATTATTCCATTAAAAATGAGATATTAATTTGTTTTAAAAAATAACACCGAAATTATAGTATTAAAAATTTGTTTTTAATTTCTTCATCAAATAAATATTAAAAATTACAACAATTATTACATTATTAATAAAAAAATTTTACTTTCTAACATCTAGCTAATATTTATATCTTAAATAAAAAAAAAAAAAAAAAATGTGTAAAACTGTAAAGTTATGCAAATAAAATACCATAATTAAAATTAAATATTAAAAATTAAAATATTTTAATAATTATAAATTGTTTTTTAAAAAATTTATTTTAATCTAATGTCAATAAAAAAAAAGGAAGAATTTTTTTTTAAAACACCCCCATATTAATGTATGTATGTACAAGTTTGTGTAGGTACATATAATATGTATGGTCACTTATGTTTAATAGATAAAGATAAAATCTTGTTTTAAAAAAATATATTGACAGAAGATTACGTCACCGGTGATGAATCATCATCAGTGAATCAATATGCATTATTATAAGGTAGATAATGGTATAGAGTATGTACATACACAAGTTTTTTTTAAACTGTTATATAGTGGGTGAAATAAATTTAGCGTAAGGACGAGAGAGACAGACACAAGGAAGTGACAAGCAAAGAGGATTTAAAATAATTTATCATGTTCTAAACATTAAACACTGACGAATCATAACACGTGATACTTTAGCATACATGGATGGTGTAGAATGATGTTACACTCAATTACAAACTCCATATTACTCTTAATCACTTTTATATTTATTGTTATTGCTATTGGCCTTTTATCTCGGTATTAATCGATAAACCGTGTTTAGAAGGCGTTATAAAATTGATTGATTAGGATTAACTTGTCGATAAAGACGACCGAGTGTTATCTAAATATTGTTTCAATTTTTAAATTTAGTTTTTTATTTTATTGACCGGGTGGATACTTTTGCGCACTGAATTGCAGACTGTTGACTGCAAGCTACAAGCTACAAACTGTTAACTGAAGACTAGAATAATAATATAAGAATGTTATGTACAGTATGGAGTACAGTGTAAGTTGACAATATCATTTATGGTGATGGTTGCGCAATTCTCTAGGTGGTCTGTGCACTTTCTCTCTCCTTGAGTAAGCGGCCGCAGTCAGGAGAGTTATCGAGCACGCGTGATCAGGGAACCCACCGAGATAATATGAGTTTAAAGTCCTGTATACTCAAGAGAAATGGACACTTTGGTTTTAACTTTTAGTCACGATTACGATTAATCCTTAGTACATTGTGTTGAAATTTAGCATTTTTTATTTTTATTTCCACTATTACAAAGGGGTAAATTGATATTTCTAGTCCTATAGTCAATAATTAAGAGTTTCGTTTAATTGTTAGTTCTCTTCCCGGATTTTTTTAGTAATTCTCGGTTAGATAATTCTATTGGTTTTTTTAATCTATTGCTGGGTCAGGTCTATTAGTCGATGACATTAATTATTGTATATTGTTTTACTTTTCACCTCAATTATTTTTGTTGATGTTTAGATAATTTACAAATTTTTGATGTTACTAATATAAGCAGCCGATAGTGAAACATTTTTTATTAATTGAATTAGCAATAAAAAAATATTTTTAAAAAATTGCACTTATAGTTTTTTAAATTTTTTACATGTGCAATTTTTTTTTTTTTTATTTTTTTTGTAATGATTTTATCATTAAAATAAAAAATTCTTAAAATTGTCAGCTGTTTTCTAATTTTATTTTTTTTATTTTATTTAATTAATCTATTTATTTTAATTAATTTCTGGGATTAAAATTAAAAAATCAATTGCTTCAATAAAATCCAGTATTGTAAACTGAATGAATAAAAATTGAAAAACTTAACGGTAAATCCGGTAGTAACTTTAAAGAAGACGAATTAAAAGTATGCTAGTGGAACTAATACCTACTAGCTGCAGCCAGGAAAAAAAAACAAAAGTTGACCGTGGTGAACTCTGTTCCACGTGGTTCCACGTCACGCAACAACACGTGCTACAGTTAATAAATCACAGTATATAGTACAAATAAAACTTACTTTCTATCTTCAGATCCGTTCTCCGTGGCAGTGGAAATTAAAGATGGCTCGATTGACACCAAGCGTCTTGGACGCGGCTGCAGCGTTGTCTCAACCCTGAAGAGACCCGACATGTAATCCGTCGGCTTCTTCAGCTCCGGTACTGGCACTGAAATGTGTCACCCAAGTATTTATTAGTAATTGTAATTATAACTACACACAACAGAACTTGAACTGGCTCAAGAGGAAAAATTAGATTGAATAGCTGAGCTAGTTAGCGCTCGACGTACAAGAAGGCTTTAAGAATTCCTTAATGCATTCAACAGAATTAAATGAAACATAATATAACTTTATATAATGTAATAAAATAAGCGTTTTATTTAGTAGATCGTATTAGACTTTATTAAATTAAAAGGCCGATGCACTTTGCTAGTAGGTTTTTAGCCTACGCACTCACCGTTAAGCTTCGTTAACAATTTTTTATTTACTTTATTTTCTTATTAAGAGAATCTGTCTTTTCATTTTTTGTTTATTTGAGATTACATTTTATCACATTAAAAAATTAACATTTTAATTTTATTTATTATCAGCCAAGAAAAAGTTTGAATTTTTTTAAGTAAATATTTCACGTTTTTTTAATGAAAATTTTGTTTTTATTTTTTTAAAGCAACTGATATTTAAAAAAAAAAAAAAAATTAAAAAATATTTAAAGTGAAGAATTTAATTTTATCAATTGATGATAACAAACTTTTGAATCGAATTACCGACCGGAGGTACAAATATTTTAATCCAAGACTTAAAAAATCAAGAAAAATTTTTCTAAACAAAATAACCAATTTTTCTGTTGTGTAAAATGAATGAATTAAAAAATAAATTAAATTCAAACCTAGAATCGTAACAAGTTTATCATTTGGTCCCAACTGACTGGCTAAATCGCGGCTCAGTTTTTCGCACTCAATTTCTTCTGGCAGTTTTCTTCTTGGTTCGGCAATAAGCGTATTTTCTGTGACCTCTTTCGCGGGTTCCTCTTCATCCAAAGCTTCCGTTTGAGAAGCGACGTCCATCGTCGTGGTATTGACGCGAAGAATGACTTCTGTCCTCTGCATCAGAGTGAGACCCTCGATTCCAGGCTGGGGAGAGACGCAGGGCGAGGAGCTTTTTCCCTCGATCGGAGAGTACCTCGGTGACAAGGAAGAGGAAGAGCTTGATATCTTGGACGCGCTTGATAGCGAGGAAGACCTGGAGCCAGAAGATGGCGAGCGGCGTAAGCGGCTGGTAAACAGAGTGTCTGTTTGACTGGAACCCAACTTTATCCAGGAACTCTCTGTTTGCGCGGGACTCGACACTTTACTTCGTGGAGCCGGGTAGCTTTCTTTTACGTTTTCCAGCTCGGGAAGCGATTTCCGATGCTCGCGATTTTGGAGGTTGTTTGAGTAAATTTTTGCGGGAGATGACCTTGAGTGAGTGAGGCCTTGTTCCAAGGAGGATCTTGAGGAACTGGAACTTGAACAGCTGCCGGATCTTCTGGGAACTGCGCCGCGAGATCGCAATTGCCCTTCCTCGTTTTTGTGCATTTTTGCGAACCTTGGGGATGTAGTGGGTGGAGATTTGTCCGTAAATGGCGAAGATGATGTCGAGGTTGAGGTTGATGTTGATGTTGATGTTGAAGATAGGGAATTCTCGTGGTCTAAATCGGTGGTAGTTCCCGTTGTCGAGTGACGCTTTTCGGTTAAAATGTTTCTACGGTTTAGTAATTCGACGTTTCTTGATGTCATTTCAATTGTTGCGCTTCTTTCACGGTAAAAATCTTCTATTCCTATAAAATAAAACAAAATTTATTATATAATTTTCTATTAAATTAATTTTTAAATTGACACTTGATAAGGTAAAATACCTAATTAGTGGCATCTCTAAGCCCTACATAGAAAAAAAATGTTCTTGAATCAAGTATATAATTTTGAAGAACTTAATATTGTTGATTTGAGTAGAGAAATTCTTGATTTAAGGAAATTTTACTTGATTCAAGACAATTACCCTTTTCAAAATTATATTCTTGGTTCAAGAATTTTTCTTTTGAATCAAGTTAATTTTTTTTTTCAGTGTATTTAGTGGCGCTTTTTATTTCAATTAAAAAATGTTTTATTTAGAATAAAAATTGAAAATTTTTTGGATCTAAAGATTAGAAGTAATATATTTATAATAGAAATTAATGATTTCATTAATTGAATAAGTACCAAAATCAAAGAAAGTACCAATAATGAAATCCCCGTCACTAATGGGATTTTTTCCCTATTTCTTATTTTTTTTTTAGATAATTTTTATGAAAAAAAGGCAAAGATGTATATTTTTTATGCCAATATTTTCTTTTTAATATTTTATTCATCTTTTTTTTTTTTAAAATAATTAAATTGTCAAAAAAAATTATATCTTAATAAAAAATATTCATTTAAAGACACAGTTGGCTCCTTAAAAAAAAAAAATATCATATAAAATTACCATTTTTAGTCTCACAATTGAGTAATTCAGAATCTTCAATAGCTTCACAGTTGGCAGCAAGCTTACGACGTTCTCGTTCAAGCTGTCGGTTTCTGTCATTCAAAACTTGAACACTCTGCGGCGACACGCGCTCCTTAAGGTCCCTCTTGATATTATTATTATTGTTATTATTATTATTACTATTATTGTTATTGTTATTACTACTATTGTTATCGTGGTTATTATTATTGTGATTGTTATTGATGTTGTTGTTGCTTTCAGATCTGGGTCGCGTGTCGCTAGCCTGCAGCTTTTTGCTGAGTTCATGAGACAGCTTACCCATTACCTCGACCGAGTGGGCGTTCGTGCGCTCTTCGATGCGGTGATGAAGAGCGTCGACGCTGTGAGACTTTGGCAAGTCATTGTGACTTGAGTTGTTGGTATTGTTATTATTATTATTACTATTGTTATTGCTGATATGATTATTGTTGTGCAGCGGATGGTGCGGCGTAACCCGGAGCAAAACTGGATCATCCCGGTCCCGAGGCGGTGGCCAGTCTTCCAGCCGCGCGGTCGGTGACATTGTTCGCTTGTAACTTCCTTCGCTGTCAGGAGCTCCGCGTTCACGTTTGTATGCCAAGTATGATGCCTTTGATTGGCTTCTGGAAATATAATTATAATATTTATTGTTATTAATTTTATTTAAGAGTCCAATTTTCAATTTTTGTCCAATAATTTTTTTATTATTTGACAAATTTCATTAATTTTAATAGTAGTTAGTCAAATTTAATAATTTATTTCAACGGATAAATTAAATATTGATAAAAAATAATTATCAAAACTTTTTCCTAATTTATAATAATTGCTACAATTTAAAAAATTAAACGCTAGTTTTTTGTAAAAAAAATTAGCATAAAAATAAAAATTTTCAAAGGCAATAACTCGTTTTTTTTTTTTTCCAAAACAGTATCACATTTTGCCTGTAATGCCCTTATATGACCGCGGTGAAAGGAGACGTCACACGAATATCGTGATCGGCATCTAAAAGAACTGGATAGAATGTAGAGTAACAATAATTCTTGTTTCGAAGATACAATGCAAGGACAGTTTATATAATTTACAGTCCGATGCTAAAGTTTAAAGTTTAAATCTATCTAGCACAGTTGCAAGAGCTTCGTTTATTACTAGATGACTTTGCACTTGAGTATTGATTAACTAACTAATATAATAAATAACAAAATATATTAACAATAAACACAAGCCGATACAGATAGAACTAAAAATAATCCTAAAATCCTACGAACCAATTATATATTATTATTTATTACTTTATTACATAAGTCATTAACGCGCCGTTAAATACTTGCGTTATCACACGATCAACCTTTCTTAATTTTTTATTATTATTTATGTGTTACATATTACATATTATTTTTTTATAATCAATTAACTACTGATTCAATCACCTGATAATTATTAGGATCGATTGACAATCCCCGGTAATGATTGTTTGGTAGATAAAATTAATTAAATGTATTTTATGCTTTTTAACGTGGGTTCAGATTTCAATTTTATCAGCAAGTATTGCAAAACTTGTTCTTTTAATTATTTTTTTTTTTAAAATAGCTTCAGGGCATTCTTAAATTAGGTAATCAAAAAATTCTGAATACTAATTGCTTGATTTAAGGTGAGAAATTTCTCATTTAAAATAAAATCACCCGTATAATAAAAAATCTATAAATCGAGCAATATTTTTAAATTGAAATAAAGTCATAAATTAATCAAAACTTATCATCGCAATAATTTCTTAAAAACAAACCTCGTAAATTCTCCACGATTGATAAAACAAATAATAACAACAACAACCGCAATAATTATTACAAAACAAACACAAGCAATAAGCGGTGTGATGATTTTAAAATGATATAACCTTTTTGAGATCAAGGAAAGTGTTGTCGAAGGATTTACGAGCTTGTGTGAATTGATATTGATAGCTTTGTTCTCAGCAACAAACAATGCAGCCGGTGACGGTGATCGCTGATGTGACGTTTGATTAATCGAGTGGCATTGATCGATCGACTCCACAATGTTTTGGCATTAAAATAAATTTTATTCGCCACAGTAAGTATACCTACAATATATTGCATCGAACAAAGCTCTGGAAGCATCAATACAAAAGCTATCGGGCATCGAGCTCACTTCTGCCCACATGATACTTAGCACATACAAAATTTACAGAGGACAGAGCAGACATACCGTCGAGAATATCGATTCGCACAATGAGAACCTGGCAAAAAACAATTATTTAATTCAGATCACGCACAGGCGGTGTAGTGTGAAATTGTGCTGGTTAAACCAACCACTGTATGTATTATATGTGTACATTTATACGAACAAAACAGTTTTTCATTCTGCAAGTAAGTCTCTTCTCTATACTACACATTTGAAGTCTCCAGTGATATGAGTTGTATTATAGACAACAACGTATAAAATCGGCGGATTAATTCCTGAAAAATCTATTCAAGTCACGTACGGACTTCCTTGTGCCTTGTGTAGTGTTTCGATGGTAAAGTCGCAAATATCGTCGCTAAGAATTACTGTCTTTAATTCTATTGAACCACTAGAATGAGTATTGATGTGTAAATGTATGTGGCTCTTTGTTCGGCAGCTTATCATGTCGTATATATAATATATACACCTTAACACTGAAAAGAGAAGACAAGGATCGATCTCGAGTTAATATTAATGTTCTGCTGGAATTTTAATCTCTTTATTAAGCCTGTCTGCTATCAAGAGACATCGTGACTACTGTGCTGTATGATGTCCACCTGTATTTGTTCACCTTGTACGTGTGCATGTACGCGACCACAATATCTTGACAAATAACTAACTAAAAACAAATTTTAGTGGTGTAAAAATTTTTTTCTCAAATTCAACACTAAAATTTGTGTTGATAGCTTTTTTTACACAAACTTTGTGTTAATTCAACACAATTCGTGTGGAATTATTAAGTAAAACACGCGTTCAAATTTTAAATATTCTAAAATAAAATTTTTATACTTTATTTTAATCAATCAAATATTAAGAAAATAATTTTCTTGAATTAAGAAATTTGTCATCTTTTCAAAACTTTAATTTTTAATTTACTGTTAAAAAAAATTATTTTGATTCGAGAAAAAATATTTTGAATCAAAAAAATCATTTTGGAGCAATTACTCTTGTTCAAAATAAAATTTATACGATTAAAAAATTTTTCTTCTTAATTTAAAATGATCTTTTGGTCATTTTTGGAAAATTCTGTCAATAGACTCATTGATTGTTAACAAATAAAACCAAAGTTGGCTTGCAGACGAGGCTCTAATTCCCAGCGGAAAGAGCGCCACGCCTACCCTCGGCCATTCTTTCTTATTCTCGACACAGTGACTGACGAGGATATATTTAGGATATATTGTTAGTGTTACTATTGTTCTGAAAGCGGGTTTGTGCCTGACGAAAACGAAAACGCTAATTTACGTGACGTTTGTCACCCGGTCCAGCCTGGATCCCTGATACTCATAACTCAACGAGTTTCTCGTCTTGGCTTTAAAAGTTTACAAGAAACAGGCTGCCACGTGATCAGGGTTCTTTGACCTCCTTAAGTCATGATGCCCATCTCGCTAAAAAATCTTTTCGTTTATGGCTCTTAGTTTTTTGAATTTACTTAAATGAGGAACGAGTCATTGTCGATTTCAATCAAAGGAACGGGGAGAAAAGAATCTCAATTTTTTTTTTTAATTCAATAATTAATGCCGTTTTTTTCCTTTAAGAAAGTCTACCTGCGCATGCGATGCGGAACTTGTATTTTTTCCGTGTAAGTGTCAACAACTTTTCTTGTCGGTAAAAAATTTTTATTCAAAAAAACCATGTTGGTTAATTTTTTATCTTTTTTATACTGATCAAGATATTTGTCGTTTGTCAAACAATTTTTTTTTATAAACCATCACTGTTTTAAACTTTTCAAGTATATAATTAAATTTTTTTAATGCATTCGCTCCTTTTTTGCTTTTTTGATCCATTAAAATTAAATTTTTCAATGAAAAAAATTTTTATCAATCATTAAAAATTTTCTCTAGATACATAATTAAGAAATTACCCTGTATCTCGTCAACTATTGACATTTTTAAAGATATAAGCTCATCCCGATGTTACACTCATCAAGACCTTTCATTTGAGTACCCACATCAATTTTTCATATATTTATATATATATTATATATATGTATATATGTCATATATTTTATATATATTATATAAATGTATATATGAAAAATATATCAAAAATGCATGTGGGTACTCAAATGAAAGCTCTTGATGAGTGTAACATCGGGATGAGCTTATATATTTAAAAATGTCAATAGTTAAAAAAGTACCGTGTAATTTAACAAAAGTCATTATTTAATAAAACAAAATTTTATTAATTTATAATTAAAAAACAAAACAAATAAATTACAGCAATTCAAGATGAGAGACTGACTTATAATTAAAAATAGATCATCCATTAATGATAGATAATCTAACAAAAAAAAATAATGGAAAAACTGAGCTGGCTTGTATCAGTGCAAGCCGAGATCAACGAACTGAAGAAAAAGTTTAAAATAAATTATTACGCCGGTACCAAGGTTATTTTCACTTTTAAATTTAACATACAATGTGTATATTACTAAGTAATGAGTAATAATAATGATTTGATAATGATAATAATAATAATAATAACAATTATTTTATCTCTGGTATTAGCGATTCCTTAGCATACCACTTAACTCAACAATCCCAAACTCTAACATATGTTTTGATAAAAATGCTGACAAATTGTTTTTTCATGTCGACTATGTAATACCAAGGACGCGGGAATTGTTTTAGTTTCTTTTTAAAAATTGGGTCGAGGTTCCCGCACTTATTTCCTGTCCCTAGGCCTACGCCGGTTCGCATTACAAATATTAATTACCTCAAACAATACCTATTTTAAATATCACTGCTTCTATTCCATCTAACACACGGTATATTTATTTAAACTACTGTCACTATTATTTTTAATTTAATTAATGCCGAGTGGGATATCAAATCATGGGAGTTATTAAATTCTAATGGTGATCTAATTACGGCTTTTGAGAATATAATGGAGAATGGAGAAGGAAAAAGAGTCATTAGTAATTAGAAATTACATTTTATTTGCTGAGTTTTTAAATGTGAGATATGATACTTGTAATTATTATTATTGTCTTCAGTTACTTTTAATCTATTTGTAAATTACACACGGGCTTTGTATTTAAATTTGTGGAAATTGAGTAATAATTATGGGTAAAAA